GCTGGCGAGGGAAGGGCGTGCGCGCTCCGCAGAGGGGCGGCAGCGGCGGAGAGGAGGCCTCCCCTTCGCCGTCGTCCTCGGCTGCGGGCAAAACCCAGGGCCCCAGCGGCAGGAACCCCGGCAGCGGCGGAGGGGGCTACTGGAAGGAAGGATGCCTGCAGTCTGAGCTCATCCAGTTTCACCTCAAGAAGGAGCGGGCGGCGGCGGCCGCGGCGCAGATGCACACCAAGAACGGCGGCGGCAGCCACAGCCGCGGCTCCCCGGTCGCCGGCGCCACCGCCGTCTGCGAGCCGCTTGCCGTCCTCTCGGCCGCGCCAATGGCGGCGGCGGCGGAGGGCCCCCAGCAGAGCGCGGAGGGCGGCGCGAGCAGCGGGAACATGCAGGCAGGGGCGCCCGCGTCGTCCCAGCCGCACCCGCAGCAGCTCCAGGAGCAAGAAGAAATGCAGGAGGAGATGGAGAAGCTTCGGGAGGAGAATGAGACGCTCAAGGTGAAGCGGGGGAGGGGAGCCGCGTGGGGGAGGGGAAGTGTGGGCTTAGGGGAGGGGGCGAGGGGGAGGGGAGGGCGTGTCCGGCGGGCCTGTTGGAAGACTTAATGAGGGAGGGGGCCAGGCAAGGAGGAAGAAGGCACCCTAGGCCTTACCCAGACTTGAAACAGAAACGGAGCGGAGCAACATTGGGTTTAATTTAAATCCGAATCGGGCCAGCCTGCCTTCCATTTTCATGAGTTGCACCCATTTTCGGGGCTGGAGCTAAAGAGCTGGGGCAGGCGTCCAGAGAGGCCCGTTTTCCTAGTGTGCTCCTTTGCTCAGCTCCCTGCTCAACTCAGGCCTTTCTCATGGAGAGCTGGCAGTAAAGCTGGGCTTTCGGGAGCTGGGATGGGGTGTGTCTGCTGCCTGTCGGAGGGACTGGGGACCAGGCTGGTTTTGACCCGCCACCTGTCACCGCCTCAGAACGAGATCGATGAGCTGAGGACCGAGATGGACGAGATGAGGGACACTTTCTTCGAGGAGGATGCCTGTCAACTGCAGGAAATGCGCCGCGAGTTGGAGAGAGCCAACAAAAACTGCCGGATCCTGCAGTACCGCCTCCGCAAAGCCGAGCGCAAAAGGCTCCGCTACGCGCAGACGGGGGAGATCGACGGGGAGCTGCTCCGCAGCCTGGAGCAGGACCTCAAGGTCTGCGCGGGGCGCCGGGGCTCAGGGGCGTGGCGGGGCGGTGGGAGCTGTCCCTGCCTTCAGGAGGCTCAGAGCCTCTCGGTGGTGACTATGCAATGCAGACTCCGGGAAGGGGAAGGGCAGGTGGATCTGAAGAGTGGAGGGTGGGTAGGCCTCTCACCCACCTCCAAGTGCTCTCCGGTGAGTTAACAGTGGCTCTTCCAGAGCTCTTGGGAGAGGGCGTCACCCTCTGGGCCGAAACAAAGGTGTGGCTCAGCACAGACTAGCCCTGATCTGCCTTAGTCTGAGTCAATTAAAGGCCAGGTGAATTTATGCACCACGGGACCCAGGATAGCAACGGAATAGATAGGAGTTAGGATTTCTCTCTACAAGTGATATCCTCACTTTTCTTCTCCCAAGATTCCTTCCTTTCTGTACATAACCCTGGGAAAGTCAAATAAATGAAGGGACCCCCTTCTTACTGGGAAGTTGCTCCTTTAAAAGCTTACTCAGTTGAGAAATCCCAATCTTAAAATGCATTTGTTTCTGAACAGATATCGAGTCCAGTGTGACCACATGCAGATTCATTGACTATGCAAACCAGATATTGTCGCTGTGGCCTTGAACATCCAAATGAATATAATTTTATTTGCATTAACCACAAAACATGAACGTTACACATAGTTATGCTATATTTGTTATAAAGAAAGTTATGATGAAACGTCTTATGAAAGTCAGTATATGATTTTTCCCCGAGAAACATTTACTGAGAGGTCACTATGCACCAGGCACAAGGACAAACATTGTTACGTGTTATTTTACTTGGTTCTTAAGAATAAAGAATCCTATAAAGGGGTGATTAATTTTAGTATCATTTTTCAGATGCAGAAGCTGAACCTTTATAGAAGTTCTGGGTATAACCCTCTGGGAGGGAGTAGGTGGCCTGGCTGGCTCCCTACCCAGATTAACAACAGTATTCTAAGCCTTTATACCAGGTAGCTCCACTTATTTTACACTAGCTGAAAATTTCCAAAGATACACATAAAGCATGGGACAGAAATGTATTTCATCCTTAAGAAGAAGAAATAATCCTAGGACTACCACGTTTCCTAAAGGCATCTGAAATTATATTTACAGGTGCAAAATTCAAAAACTCACTTGGAATACTCATCACTTGGAATTCAACACATATATTTTCCATTCTTTCCAAATCAAAAAGCAAACCCACTGCTAATTCAGTTGATTGCAACTCAGCGACCTTGTAGGACAGAGTAGAACTGATTCATAGGGTTTCCATGGCTGTAAATCTATACAGAAAGAAGTATATTGCCAAGTATCTCTGTCCTACAGTAGACTTGTTTTGCGTATTAGAGCCAGTGTGTAAAATTATATACATGTGATAAAACACAATAGGAGGTTTATAACCATGGTGTTGTGTAGTTATGGAAGAATCCATTCCACAAAATTGTTTTAGGATGATAAAACATAATAGGACATTTATGATTATGGGGTCATGGAGAGAAGAAGAGAATAGGTAGAGTCTAACCAAGAATTAGCACTTTAGACTTGAACAAGTTACTTGACATTTCTGAGATTTAGTTTGCATATCTTAAAATAATGCCTATCTTGTGGGATTGTTATGAAGGTTGAATGCAAATATATGACTGGTTCATATATGGAAGGTTGAATGGGAATATATGACTGGTTCAGGCATTGGAATACTGCCTGGAACATGATAAACTATGTAAGAATATGCTCTTAATGGTTGTCATATAATAAACTCAGAGTGTCATTGACTCTATATCACTGTTACAAACACTTTAATTTAGGTTGCAAAGGATGTATCTGTGAGACTACACCATGAATTGGAAAATGTAGAAGAAAAGAGAACAACAACAGAAGATGAAAATGAGAAATTGAGGCAACAGCTTATAGAAGTTGAGATTGCAAAGCAAGCTTTACAGAATGAGCTGGAAAAAATGAAAGAGGTTAGTATTCACTTATCTCATGGTTTGCTATATATTTTCAGACTAATATGGTTGTTGGAAAAATTCTTTTTTTAAAAACTAAAGGGACAATTTGTTGTGCTCACACAACATAGCAAAGACACGATTTTGTACTAAAAAATGAGTAGAAAAGAAAGATGAGCAGAGGCTTTTGATTTAAATTGGTCTTTGCCTTGCCTCTCTGTGAGCTGTGCTTGTAAGCTGTGACTATGTTTCATCGGTGTCTTATTTAAATAGATGTTAATTTAAACAAATTGCACAGTCAAATCAAACACAAAATGTATAAAGGAATTTCCCGTTCATTAACGGGAAAATTGCTGTTAAGGTCATTGAACCATAAATGTTTAGGCTAGAAAAAGCTATTAATTTAGTTTAATCATGGCATGGTTCTTGTCTTAAGAAAACTCATGGTCACATGGTCCAGTCATTATGATGTCACCAAGATTCCTTCGTAGCTCAGAGATCCCAGACTACATCTCTGTTTGCAGTGGTTGTCGACCTTCCTAATGCCTCGGCACTTTAATACAGGTCCTCATGTTGTGGTGACCCCCCCCAACCATAAAATTATTTTCGTTGCTACTTCATAACTGTAATTTGTCTACTATTATGAATTGGGCGAACCCTGTGAAAGGGTCGTTCAACCCCCAAAGGGGTCGCGACCACAGGTTGAGAACCACTGGTTTATAGGGTTTCTTTCTTTTGAGTTGAAATCTAACCAGCTCAACCTAATTATACCCTTTAGTGTAGAGTTCTCTTCCACATCAAGTATTTAAATATATCACTGTGAGTCCAAATGCACTTGATGGCAGTGAGTTTTTGTTGTTGTTTTACCATCAAAGAAGAGAATTAGGATCAAAGGACGTAACAAGAAGGTAAAAGAAACAGAGGAGCTCTCAAGAAATAATTAGGATTGCAATAAATAGCAATTTATTTTGAATTAGAATGACATTTTTCTGTCAGTTCATACCCAAGAGGAAATTTATATTCACTTTTGAGCTTTAAAAACCGAACCCCAGCCACTGATTTGAGTATGCAACAACAAAAGTAACAGGAATTTAGAAGCACACATGCAAAAATCAACTTGTAAAGTAAGTTTTATTAAGAAACCACTACCATGTTGCAGTGGCATAGTGGTTATAGTGGGGCGCTAACCCCAAACTTAGCAGTTCAAAACCACCAGCTGCTCCATGGAAGGTGAGGCTTTCTACTCTTGTAAAGAGTTGCAATGGTGAAAAACTCACAGGGACAGTCCGGCCCTGTCCAATACAGTCACGGTGAGTCAGAAACATCTCAGTGGCAGTGAGTTTCTTTTTGTGTTGCCCATGAAGTGAGTTCTAGCTCATAGTGACTGTAGAGCAGAGAGTAGAACTGGCTCCCTGGCTGTTCAGAAACTGTAAATCTGTATGGGAGCAGAATGCTCCACCTTTCTCCTCCGAGATATGTAAACGATGTGGTCTTCAGACGTTGCAGTTACCCACTACACCATTAGGGATCTTTGTATTAAGTAGGTTTTAAAGTACTCCTCCTTCTGTGAGAAACATGGGTGGCAGTGAGACAAGAAATAAAGATTGGGAGAGTAGGCGCGTGAGTGGAGAGCTATTTGAGAAATTGTAATTGTATTAAGGGAGAAATGAAAAGTATTCTGGAGAGTAGTTTCATCCATTTTGAGGCTGACCTTCATAGCTTCATAGTATTCAGAAACGTGTCCAGAAATTTAAAAAAGGAGCTTGGAGGTATGTTTAGAAGTCAGGCGTATGTCATTGAAGTGAAATTTTTGCATAACAGGTTTTCTATCCTCCAAGAAAATAACCAAAAAGACAACTTGCAACAATAAATTAGGGTAGAGGCTGTGAGCTTGGCTCTTGACTTGTCCTTGAATGTCTTGCAAAAGCTTCTGTTAACCATCTGCTGGCTAGGTTGCAAAATGCACGCATGTTCAAGTTCTTGGTGAGTGTTAACCAAATGGACTATCGTATCATTACCATATCCCATCAGTGGAGAGAATACAGCCTGCCTATATTATTCATTATGATGAAATGACACTAGTTATGAAACAAAATCATAAAATGTTAAATAAAATATATTAGAGAGAAACAGTATTCCAATTAGCAGGCTTTAGTTCCTTGTATAGAGTCGTATCGATGTTGAAAAGTGCTACTGGGACCAATTGGCCATCTGTTAGTGTCTGGGAACCATTTGCTAATGGTTTAACCGGCTTCAAGGGTATAGACCAATTGCACTTAGTGCTCTGGCTGCAGAGGGGTCTCTATGCCTTCTCACATCCATCTGCTAATCTTCTCTTGAGAGTCTGGAGTAGGCACCTGGGAATAAGAAAAGTTGAGCAAAGACAGGATGAGGGTAACTAGTTAAGTCTACTGCAACTCCATGCTGGTTTTGACACAGTTGATCTTCTGCCAGATGCTACCAAGAGGGACCTCTTAGGATGCTGTATTAGAAGCTCAATGGTATTTTCCTCTAGATTACAAACATTGATTGCTAGTGACTACTAGCATTATCATTTCTTGGTGTAGAAAAATGACTCTAGGTTTATGTAACCTGGGGGAAATGATGGGCTCTCTTTCAGTGTCACAGAGAGATATAGATTATTGTACAAGTTATTATTTTGTGGAAACAATGGTTGTTTGAGTCCGGGTTGATGTACAAATCGGATTGAGTAAGGGTGTCTCCAGAACACTTTCTCTTTGAATTTCAGTTCAGGGTTACAACCTTTCCTGACGTTTTGATTTTCAAAGATCTGAAATCCCCTGTGGGCTTCAGAACGCAGAAATCTTTTCATATTCCCTGAAAGGTGTAATGCTTAGAGAAACATTAATGATGTATATTTCAGCAGATTAATAAATCACCCATCAGAGAAAGAACCTTTGATGATGGAAAAGGAAGAAAGAATAACTGAGATCGGATGAAAAGAACTCTTTGCTAGATCATTTTATTTTGAATGTTTTTGTTGAAGTGACTTTTCCATCACCCTCCCATGAATCTTAAAAGAAAATAATTATCTTACCGTTTCCCAGTGTTTGCTCTAGAGGCTCTTAAAGAGCCTATTGCAATAGCTTTATCCATCTTGGGACTTTAATTTTCTGTGCACATGGTTCATCTCTTGTACCATAATGTACTTTCATTCTAGAACACAAAAATAATTAGTACTATAAATTTCAGCAGTGGTGTCTCTCTTTTTCTTATAAGAGTACATGCAGGGTCTGTCTTTGTACCCAGATTCTTTTTACATATAGAATATTATAATACATAAATATTTGCTCAGTATATTTACGGTGATGCTATAGGTTAGGCGTTGGGCTGTTAACCGCAAGGTTAACTCTTCAAACCCGTCAGCTACTCCAAGGGAGAAAGATGAGACTATCTGCCACCATAAAGATGTACTGCGTGGGAAACTCTCCAGAATGATTTTACTCTGTCCTACAGGGCAGTGCTTCGTTCTGTTGTTCACAGGATTGCGAGGAGTGGGAACATAGCAAAAACCAAAACTGCGCTGAGACTGAATAGACTAGATGGCGGGGAGTCTTTGGGGTGCTTTGTCCTCTTATGTCAAATAAGTAACTCAGCATCACTGTATTTCATATTGATAGGGCATAGTCATCTAAAACATAAAGGGTAAGAAAAATATATTAAGTAATACATTAGGGAAAAAGCATTAAAAAGAGGTAGTTTTAATGGTGGATTTCTCTGGCATTGTATTATTTCTCTGGTCTGATCATTTGTGGATAGTTTTAAAATGAAACACTTTTTAAAATAAAAAGTTGCCTTAAGTCTTTTTAAATGCATCAAGTAAACGTAATTTCTTTAGTCATAGCTTCTCAGACCTAATAGTTGAAAAATATAGGCAGGAATAACAGACATTAAAAGCAAAGAAGAGTATGTTGGGATGCATTAAAAAGTTGTCTTCCAGTAACAGCATGCATTATGAATGGATGTTTTTAAATGTTATTGGGTTTTTTTCATGAAATTAAATATACAGTTACTTATACTCTGACATGATTATTCAACATACACTCTTGGATCAGTGGCTCTTTTTTTTATGTAAATTGCATCTCAGCAGAAACACAGTAGTAGGCAGATCAGCAAATACCTGTTGGCTGATAATTTAATGGAACACATTGAAATTTTATTATAAACTGCACATTTCTGGTCACTTACTAAAAACAACAATCAGTGTTGCACTCCCTGTGTGTGATGCCACAAAGTTGAACCTTTATTGGCTGTAATTTTGCCTTGGTTATATTCTTGAAGCTTTAAAGACTTAAGCCACTATAGAAATATAGGTTGTACCTGATTCAATATTTCCATTTGAGTACCTTTGTTCTTATTTAAAATACTATCAATAATTACACATTGGAATGTTTGTTGCATTCTCTGAAAAGACGTGAACCATTGGAGTAAGTCTCCAAACCTGGAGTCGGTTTGCCATTGTGACTAAGTGTCGTTGCATCGGTTCCAACTCCCAGTGTCCACCTGTACAACAGAATGAAGCACTGCCCCACCCAGTGCCATTCACAAATTGATGTATTGTCTGAGTCCACTGTTGCAGCCATCGTGTCAGTCCGTCTCATTGAGAGTCTTCCTCTTTTTGTGCTGACCCTCTACTTTAACCAAGCATGATGCCCTTTCCAGATTCAAAATAGAATGTTCAAAGTATGTGAGACAAATTTTGTGTGTGTGTGAGACAAATTCTTGCTTGCTTCTAAAGTATGTGAGATAAATCCATCCTTGCTTCTAAGGAACAATCTGACTTTACTTCTTCAAAGACAGAGTTTTATGTTCTCCTGGCAGTCTATGTATTTTCAAATTTCTACGCTACACCATAATTTAAAAGCATCAGTTCTCCTTTGGTCTGCTTAGAGGCCATTTTGACATTATCCTCAGGCTCTAGGCTAACCTCTGAGGGCTCTTGCCCTGATACATGAATAGCTTATCTGGATTTATCATTTTCACAGGAATATGTTCTT